ATATATATATATATATATATATATATATATATATATATATATTTATATATATATATATATATATATATATATATATATAATATATATATATTATATATATATATATATATATATATTAATTATAAATTAAATTATATTTGAATAAAATAAATAATAAATTTTAATAATAAAATAAATTCTGTTCTAAAAATATATAAAAATAATTTTTTATATTTTAATTAAAAATTTTATTTTCTTAATAATACACCTCATAAATTCTATTTTTCTATATATATATATATATATATATATATATATATATATATATATATAATATATATATATATATATATATATATATATATATATATATATATATATATATATATATATATATATATATATATATATATAAATATATATATATATATATATATATATATATATATATATATATATATATATATATATATATATTATATATATATATATATATATATATATATATATATATATATATATATATATATATATATATATATATATATATATATATATATATATATATATATATATATATATATATATATATATATATAACAAAATCTGAAGAAAAATTGTAATAGAATTTAACATCTAAAAATCAAAATATCAACAACCAACAACTCAAAATATCAAAATCTGAAGAAAAAAAATTAAAATAGTAAAAATATCTTCTTGAGAAGCTCTTGACTCGGAAAAAAAAAACTCTTCAATCTCAATAATACCTTCTTTACAAAACCTCCTTTAAAAACAACAAAAATTAAAAACAGAAAATACACTAAAATGAAGATGAAATTAAAAAATAATGAACAAGGAAAAAAGGAAAAAAAAGTGAAAATCATATCTTTAAGATAAAATGAAGAGGCTGGAATGGAATTGGGAGAAGGATAGGAAGATGTGGGAGAATGAAGAAGAAAATGAATCTAGAAGGATTACGGAAATGGAAATGAACGTGTAAGAAAGAAAATTTTGGGAAATATATAGACATCTCAGCGCATGAAAATCACATTATAAGATAGCGAAATATTTAACGATAATATTTTTGTGATGTGGAAATCATGACACCACATAAATGTGTCAATAAACCTGCAACAAAGAATTCATTTATCGGTCAATTTTCTCTCTTAATTTTTTATTTATTTTTGAATTTAAATTTGTGATGTGTTTATCACGCCACAACTTAATTTTTGAAAAATTCAACCTTTCTCCGGGTGTAAATCTGACGCCTTTATTTTACTTTTTTGAGTTGCGACAAGTTTTTTATGCCACAGTATTTATTTTAATATTTTTTCAGACTCCTCCATATGCTAATCTTACTTTTATTTTTTTAATAATAAAAATACGTAGCAACATGACAAATAAGTCGCAGCACTTCTTTTTTGTCATGTGTTTATCACGTTGCAAAATCATGTCAATGTGAGCTTGTTTTCTTGAAATGATTATCGAGTTTTATGTGACAATTTTCAAAACCTCATTTTCACTTTTCGAAATATCAAATATAATATTTATTTTTTATTGAAGGTTACATGTTCAAATCTTGGCAAAAATTAAAATAAAAAAATCTTATTTTAAACAAAATGGTCTAGCAAGACAACCATTACTCCAACTATGTATATTCTCCTAAATTTTAGATCGAAAATAGATGTGTGAATCTAAACATTAAAGTTAAAATTTTGTTTCCTTTGAAATCATAATAAAAAAATTAACACTTGAAATAAATATTTTTAATCTCAAAATAGTTATAGTAAAAAAATATATTAACAAATAAACTAATTTTGTCAAAAACAAATTCTTAAATATTCAAAATTCAATAAAAACAAATAAACCAATTTACAACTGTGAATCGAGAGAGTCTTAATTTCTTAATTTAGTTTTATTTTAAAATTATTTCAAACAATTTAATTTCTTAACCCTAGTCGTCATCACTTTTCTTCTTTTTCTTTATCTCTTAGAGATGAGTGATTTAGAATCGATTTTGATCTAAAATCATTTCTCCAGATCGTTTTTGTTTCTCTATTAGTTAAATAAGCGATTTTCACATATATTATTGTTTTTTTTTTATTTCGTCATTTTAATTCGTCGTTGTTTATTTGGATTTTTCATCTTTGTAGGGTGTGTTATTGACATCTCGTCTTTGTAGGATGTATTTTGTTTTTCCGTCTTTGTGCAGTATTTATTTGTTGCAGGTTGAGAGATTAATTTCGATCTAGTTCAAATTTAATCTATGACTTTAGTATCATTAACGCTACAGACCCGAAATACATAAATATTTCAGATATTTCAATACAGCCATATTTATAAGCTTTTATATTTTATCATTTTATCTTATTAACATAGATGTCGTAAATTTGTACATAAATTCTTTTTTTTTTTTTTGATGTTTTAGAATTTATATTATATTGATGTACTCTTTCAATATAAATGAATGAATATCCTTTATTTTTAATTTAAAAAAAACATTTCCATGCTGCGAAGAAAAATAATCATTATTTATATTTTCATGTACTCTTTTGAATGACATGGATTTATGTTTCATGACAGGTTGACACGTCACTCAAGGATTGAATATTACAGTGTATGTAATATTATCTTATTATACACAATGTTGCATTCTGAAAACAATGGACTATAATAATTGTCATGTTTACCGGCATCATAAACTCTACTCCCCACAATTACACTTGGTCAAATGTTTTTCTTTCTCTCTCTTATCATATTTGAAACATATCTCCTTTTTGGCCGCAATTCTTTGCGGATACACACCAAAAAAAACATCATCAACATCTTCCATGTTTGTTCCCATACTGACTTGACCTAACCTAGCCATGTTGTTTTTCAGTTTGTTGGACCCCGTTGGTTACATGTCATTTAGGTTTTTGTGGGTTTAATTTCAACATCTTCGTATCATTATTAATTCCTTCAAACTTTGTTCTTTTTTCTTTAGTTTTGGTTCCCCTTTTGTTTCTTTTCTTTTCAAAAGACAAGGGGAATTAAACTCATTGTTTTCTTTTATATTAATATTCTAATACATTCTGAATTTGTAAACTTTTTTTTGTGAGAGAGATTTTGATAGATTTAAAATTTGTGTCTAGGATTTTACTTAAATAAATATATAAACTTTGATAGAGAAATGAGTTGCTTTTCATGTTTCTCCAACCAAGAAAAGAAAGTACCAAGGAGGCTTAATAACAACAATAACAATAATAATGGAAAGAGGATACAATATCCTCCTACTCAAATATCTCCTAAGAAAGCACCTCAACCTCATCATCAAGGGTAAAATTAATTATATATACATAATATATAGGTTTATTTGTACAAGCTTCATCAATTTTATTTTTATTGTAAGAAATTCTATATCAAATCATGATGATGTTTGTATGTGAAAGATTTTAGTTATAATTCTATATTGCGATTTTGTCAGACTCTCCGTGAATTCAAACACGCGCAAAAAGATTAATGTGATCGGAAATTCTCTATTGAGGATGGTTGATGTATGATGTTATTTTGTGCAGATAATCATTACCAAAAGGCTAGGACAAGCTCACCAAGAGAACCTAAAATAAATAAAGAGGCTCATAGAGAAAATGGTAGTGGGAACAACATTGCTGCACAATCATTCACATTCAGGGAATTGGCTTCTATCACAAGAAACTTTAGGCAAGAAAATCTAATAGGTGAAGGTGGATTTGGAAGAGTTTATAGAGGAAGACTTGAAAAAACAAACCAGGTAAATCAATGACACATATTGTAATATTCAATTATTTTCTTAAATTAATACCAATGATATTGTTCTGGTGTCGGTATCTGGTGTCTACGTGTCAATGTCGTCGTGTTTGGTGTATGTCTCTGTGTCTATGTCTGTGTCTGTATCTGATGTCTATATATCAGTGTCGTCGTGTCTAGTTTCTGTCTCTCTGCATCAGTAGGGAGTATTTTAATATGATTTAACTATGTAGGAAGTAGCTGTGAAGCAACTAGACAGGAATGGACTACAAGGGAATAGAGAGTTTCTTGTTGAAGTTTTGATGCTAAGCCTCTTACACCATCATAATCTAGTGAGTCTAATTGGATATTGTGCTGATGGAGAACAAAGACTATTGGTATATGAGTACATGCCATTAGGATCTCTTGAAGACCATCTACTTGGTAATATTTACATTTGTATTGAAATTATCATCGATATTAATTTCGATATGTATGTAGCATTGATAAATTTTGATATTCATGCAGATCTTCCATCAAAACAAAAACCATTAGAATGGAGCAAAAGAATGAAAGTAGCACTGGATGCTGCAAAAGGTTTAGAGTATTTGCATGATAGAGCGAATCCACCCGTGATATACCGCGACTTAAAATCCTCCAACATATTACTAGACAATGATTTTAATGCAAAACTATCTGATTTTGGATTAGCTAAACTTGGACCTACTGGTGACAAGTCTCATGTTTCTTCAAGAGTAATGGGAACTTATGGATACTGTGCACCTGAGTATCAAAGAACTGGTCAACTCACTGTTAAATCAGATATATACAGTTTTGGTGTTGTTTTGCTTGAATTGATTACTGGTAGGAGAACTATTGATAACACAAGACAATTAAAGGAGCAAAATCTTGTTACTTGGGTCAGTTTCCCTACTCATTATTTTTTAGCCTATATATTTTAAGAAAATATTAGGGCAAGTTAAATAGGAAATTATCTCATATATCTTTTATTTCTTGAAAAGTATTTTTTGTGAGCACTATATAGTTAGTTCTGACATGATGTAGTCTGATGCGGTCGTTGCAGAGTTTAGAATTTAGAATTTTGTGAGCACTGTATAGTTAGTTGTGGCATGATACAGTCTGACGCATCTGTTAGGATTTAGGGTTTTGTCAGTACTATATAGTTAGTTGTGGCATGATATGGTCTGACGCAGCCATGGCATAGTTTAGGGTTTAGGATTAAGATATTGTGAGCAGTATATAGTTAGTTGGGACATGATGTGGTTTGATGCGGCCATTGCAGTGTTAGATATAGTTTTTAGTGTTTATTTACAATCACACCGTAATGGCCAGTTCAAACACTACCACATCGATAATATTGTGGCCGCATCAAGTGATGCAAGTAATGATGTCCGCAATTTGAAAACATACTCATTATGTTTTTTTATCTTCTAAAATTATGAAACTTGCACTTACTGATAACTTTTTTGAAATCAAACAGGCATATCCGGTATTCAGGGAACCAGCAAGGTATTCAAAATTGGCAGATCCAAAACTTGAAGGAAACTTTCCGATGAGATCGTTACATCAAGCAGTGGCAGTAGCAGCAATGTGTCTAAATGAAGAGCCATCAGTTAGACCACTGATAAGTGATGTTGTAACAGCTCTTAGTTTTCTTAATCCAATGAGTCAAGACCAACAAGTTTTGTCACCAATTGATATGCCATCACCAACACAAGAGAATAGTGCAACCTTGAGTCTTCTTGACGATGACAGTTCCGTCGAACGACAAAGAGCCGTTGATGAAGCCACGGAATGGGGTTGAAATACTAGGAATAAACCAAGGCTTGATAGTGCTTCATCTGTTTAAAACCATTACAACAATATACACATGTTGATGATAACCATAATTCTGTTTCTAACAATGTAGCTCTACATTTGTGGCTTTCTTTTAAAATATAAAATATCAATTATGATCAAAGCACAAATCAACCAAAAAGAGAAGGAAGTTTCAAGTTTCAACGCTCGGAAAATTGTATCAAATAGAAGGACATCTCATGTCAAGACTTGCATCATATACAACAATGATGAATTTAGAGATATATTTCTTCTTAGAGAAATATGTTAATTCAAATATTTTGAAAGATACATTTGGTGAAAATGTAAAGTATTTTGAATTGAAATGACAAAAAATGTAAAGAAATTTAAAACACAATGGAGTGTATACTTAAAGATCTAGAAAGGTTGAGTCTTTTTCTAGTTAAGAGTATGCTTTATAATTTAAGTATTTAACACTTTTGTTCTTCGTAACAATTCTTATTTTTTACATGAAAAATCTTAGTTGACTGTCACTATTAAGTTTGCTAAGCTATTCTTAACAGATTGTGTGGTAAAATATTGTTCTTCATCGGCTAATATTTTGTCGAAGTTACATTCATTGCTTCATATTCCTTCAAATTTAAGTCTTGATATTGCATTCCTAGGCAAGCTCCACTATATCCACTACCCTTCATGTTTTCTTTGAGAATATTGATTATATGTTCATGCATCGGCTTTTTTGACAAAATTTAACTTTCACTAGTAGCAGATGTCTTATAAGTCTAAGTTGTTTAATAAACTATCAAAATTTGTGTTAGTTGATGACTTGACACATGCAAATGTTAGTGTTCTTTGTTATGTGTCTCACATTTCTGAAGTTCAATTAAGAGGCATATCTTTTGAACTTCGCATCAAAGTGGCATATGAGTATCTCTATCTATTGAAAATTTTAAGACTACTTTTGTTATCTGTATTAGCCAAAAAGTATAAGGTGTGTATGTTCTTCCTGCAAGGATAGAGAGACTCAGAGGCCTTTGTATGTATATTACATATTTAGGTAGTGAGGGTTTGCCCACGGTGACGAGAAGCTCTGTGTGGTGGTTTTTGAAGCTGTATAAAGGACTTGCTCATGTGAGGTGAGAGATCCGGTAGGTGACCTGGGCTACATGGTTGCATGTGGGCGGTTAGATTGGTTGAATTCCTTACGGTGGATACGAGCATAATGCTCTTTGAGTAGTGGAAAGTGTGTATGATTTAGAGTCTATCCCTTGTCCCCGTGAGGGATAATGTATTTATATAGGATCTTACCAACCATATTTTGCTCAGTGATTGTCTCTTCACAAGTCTTTACTTAATTCACTAATCTTGTGATTCTTGTTATGAATTCACTACTGGTTTCCTTCTCTTCCATCCCAATCAATTCCCTCTTGTGAGTTTGTAACCTCACCACCTTTACCTTATCAGCTCTTGTATAACTTTTCTCTTGAACTTGCCAAGCTTCCTTTGAGGATGTTCAGTCACCAACCTTCTCAAAGCTTTGAAATCTTTCGTCTTCTGTTCCTTATACTCACTAAGTGTTTGGTCAAAGAACCAGAGTTTTGATGCCAAATACTGGGACACTATCACTTTAAAATTTTGGGTGAATATGTGGTGTCTTTCTCACTTGGTGTGTTGCTATTAAAGAAATATCCCAATATAAATGCTCTCTCATGATGGCCCCAAACATTTGATGACCCAACAAATAAGAGATATATTTGACTCTTGTTTTAAGTTGAGTATGGACCATAGAAACAAAAGATTTAATGAGATTATAAGCTTCTAATTTCCATCTCATCAGAAAAATCCAACTAAACCTACTTTAATTATCAATAACTGTGAGGAAATACTTATGACCATTCTTTGAAGAAATGGATAAGAGACCACAAATGTCCATATGAATCAAGTCAAAAATTTCAGTAAATTTATGAGTGCTATTGCGAAAGGTAATCTTTTCGGTTTTGCATAAAGGAAACATCACAAGGAATTGTAGAATGCACTGTCTTAACAAATGGATAATTTTTCTTTATTTCAATCAGTTTGTCATATGAAGGACAACCAAGTCTTAAATGTCAAATATTTCAATAAACTTTCTGTCCTAAATCAGAATGCTTAATAGAATTGATACAATTTTTATGTCCTAAGGTGTAGGTATTTGTATACTTAATATTGAAAGGTGATGGTGTATGTATTCTAACTAATGGATGAGTGAGAATGTACAATTGACCTCTCAATTTAGTTGCACAAATCATCTTCTTAGGGTAACTATTTTATATCAAGCAATTCTAATTATCAAAAATTTGGTGGCATTTAAGGTTTTGAGTCAATTTTAGGACATATATGTTAAAAGGAAAATTTAGGCATGTATAGAACATTAGTTAACATGAAATTGTGATCAAATAAGATGGTCCCTGCAAAATTGATAGTAACTAAGGAACCATTTGGAAGTTTTATGGTAATGGGCTTAATCCACATCATGCAATGAAATTTTTTTCTTGAAAACATACACGGTTAGTAGCACTAGTATCTAAAATAAAGATTTCAGGCCTAATGATATTTGGAAAAGTGCAGATAATACTTGTTTTTGAGTTGGATTTGGTTGTGATGTGGTTTACACTGTGAGATGACACTTTGTTATGATTGTTAAAGTAATTCCAATAATGCTTTATGTTTATCTAGAGTGAAGGCTAATAATTAGAATCTTGATCATTGTGATGTTCCTCGTTGATCTCAGAATGAGAGTTATCATCTTGATTGTTTTGATTTGCCAAATTTTTGATAGTGCCTTATTGTTGCCAATGTGGGGAATAAACATGCTTCTTAAAGCATATATCTATTGCATGATTTGTCATACCATAATGTGTGCATACTCTTGTTACTCTTCTTTTACCACTAGATTGCGTACTACCTATTGTGTTTTTTCCATAAAATAAGTAACTTACTTTATCCTGAGATGAACCATAATGAAAAGCCAAGATCTTGGATTCATCTAGAGGAGTGACATTTTGTATTTCTTATTGAACAAGTAAAAAGTATATTTTGTAAATTTTCAGAAGAGGATCCATTAATATGATCTCAGATCTAACAGTAGAGTAGTGTTCATTCGATCCTTTCAAGAATCTGATAACTTGATCAAAATATTTGTAACTTCAAATTTTGTCAATAGCTAGGCAAGTGATATCATATTCAAAAGTATGAATAGAGAAAACATTGTCCAATTATTGGCACAACATTTTCAATTGTGTAATAAGAATATGTGGAATAAGCACTTTGTTTCAAAGTGAAAACCTCCTCTTGAATATCTGAAATTCTAAAGATGTCTCCATGATAGAATCTATACTGCAACTCCTTACAAATGTTGGATGCAGTTTCAATCAACAATATGCTTTGAGAAATCTATTGATCAACCAAATTATTGAGCCATGACACAATCATAGTGTTTCACCTATACCAAACTATCTAATCACAGTCTACATTAGGTGGTCTTAGCAAGGCTCCATTAATAATGTGAATTTTATTCTTGGAACTTAAAGCCATAGTCATAGATCTTGACCAAGGATGATGATTTCCAACATTCAATAGGAGTGGAACAAGAGAAAGTGTTGGATTTTCATTCGGGTGCATGAAGTACGGATTTTAGCTATCATTTTTATAAATTTATCAAGGTTTGATGATGAATACCACCATTGTTGGTGCTTGAAGAAATCTCAAGAGACATTGTTGAAGAGCTATAACAGATCAAAAAACTGAAATCGAAGAAAGATAAGGGAAATATATGGAAGAATAATGATATTTGTGAAGAAAGGAATTGAAATGGCTATGGTGAATCCAAATCACAGGTCGACGATACCATGTGAAATGTTAAAACCTGAACACCATTGCAGAAGAAAAAGAAAGAGAGATCTCAATGAAAGTATGATTGCATTTCATAAATTTAATCTTTAGAAAGCTATTACACTGGTTATATATGAGATGATTTGTTTCTCTACTAACCAACTCTAACTTCATTATAACTAACTATGAAAGTTAATTATAACTAACTGAATAATTGATTACAAAGTGAGGTGCTAACTTGAGTTACAAGTAAACTCTAATTTGAGGCACAAGTAAACTCTCTGCTCTTATCATCTTCATATTGAACACTTTCACACTCATAAAAGGTAAACTTCTTTTTTGTTTTTCTCCAAAATTTCTTAATCAATATCTTCCTTTCAAATTTCTTATTAATTTTATTTACTAATATAATTTAAATCTTATAATGTTTAATTGAGTGTGATTAAGGAATTTTAATTGAACATACTTTCAATAATTTATTGTTTTCTATAAATCATGACACAATCAAATTTGATATGTGGAGTGGAAATTTAAGATGATTAGACTTATGTAGTATTCGTAGTAGATAATTCTCAGAAGAAATATCCATTCTTTTTCATTTTTTTCCAGATTTAATAATGCAATAACACACTTGTTGAATTTTCTAGCTTATGCATTTTCATCTGTGCACATCTTACGTCATCCATCGGAGTGCAACAAGATGACCCATTAGGGCCGCTCTTTTTTTCTCTTGCGTTATACCCACGTATTCATCATGTTAGGGACAATTGTAATCTTCTTCTTCATGTTTGGTATCTTGATGATGGGACTATTATACGGGATTCACAGGAGGTGGATAAAGCCCTTGATATTATTCGGGAGACATGTCTAGGATTAGGTCTTGAATTGAATATTCGTAAGACTCAGATCTTTTGGCCTTCATGTGATGGTATTAAACTTCATGAGGATATGTTCCCGTCAGAAATTGGGAGGCCGCTGTTAGGGATGAAGTTGCTTGGAGGGGTTGTTAGTCGGGATGATGGTTTCATTAAGGAGTTGTCTAAGAAGAGAGCTTTCAGGGTTATTGACACTACTACAAAACGCTCAAACAACAACCCCATGTTTACGACACATCCATATACACCGTAGTAATAGGTT